TATATAATTATATATATATATATATATATAATTATATATATATATATAATGTGTGTAAAAAGCTGAGAACATGGCTGTCTGATCATATGTTGTAGCTGTAAGAACACAGAAAAACAATGAATATCAATAGCCAATCATTCTGCTGCTCTACTGTTGTAGTACAGTCTTTGACCAGCAGAGGGAGCGGTGTGCACGTGAAGACCTGAGAAAAGGTAGGCCTTTGCAAAGTATTGTCCCTGGAAGGCTGTGAGGCTTCATGTTACTTGAGCTCACCATCATCAGTGACTTCATTATTCTAACAGGAGGAGACGATTCATTATTTCTGATATAGATGAGAATGTTTTATCATACAGTCGCTCATACGGACAGAGCGACCGTATGTTTTATACGCTCCTTCACCCTTACATACCTTTCTTTGGGGGTGGGGGGGTTATGTTTTCGCATCCACCTGAATAATATGTAGTTGCGCCCCTGCATGTACAGTGTTACATGTGTTACATTGTAACACATGAAATATGTTACAATGTGTTCAATTACAAGATGTGTTACAATGTAACGTGATACTTTGTTATACATTTAACACATTACATTGTAACACGCGTTACACTGTGTTACAGCAGACGCACAGTGTCACCAGGCGTTTGCAAATTGCTGCTGGCTAGTCTGAAGGAGCTCAATGTGGGAGTAGCATGGGAGGGTTGCTCTTTGAGCCGGAAGGTCGGAAGCTTGGAAATAGCATCTCTGAGCAGGCGGAGTATAAGTCCAACCAGGCATTTCATACAGGTGGATGGTTGCTACGGGAGATTGAATGATTTCTCAAACATGCATGAAAGAATGAAGGCAACACTCCAGGTTTGTTTTTGATCAAGGAATAATATAACATGATGTAATTCTCAAAAAAGTCAATTTTGAATAATACTGACCCCTTTAAAACCATGTATAATTTGATCCATCTATCAAATGAAGTTCCAAAAAAAAAAAAAAAATCCTAGTTTGTGGTTACAGCGTCACAAACGTGTACAAAAACTGAAAGAATGTGAAGGCACACACTGTGCTCTGATCGGGCCTCCTTCTCAGCGGACGTCCGGGAGGAGAGTAACACATAACGGGTTGAGCCATGTTTGGTTTATAGCAATTATGTCTTTTATTCTACTTTCCAATAAACAGAGAATATATCAGTCCCTTATTTGTACAAAAATACCTGAACAGGATACAATGTAGATCCAGGAGTTGCAGAGATAAATATGAAGCAAAGCCATGAGGGGTTTGAAGAACAAAAAAAAAAAAGTTTTTTTTCCTTAATTCCCTGAAATGTTTTATTTTGACTTCAGCTTATGTTGATTTCAACCCAACAATAACACACAGCCAACTCGTGATTTTTTATTATTTTTTTCCCCATTTATTTGCATGAGTCACACAACAGGGACGTGTAGCTGATGCTGACCTGTTAGCTCCAGTAAGGTACGCTTCACGGCACCTAACTGATGGTACGTGAACGCAACGTTTGGACGGCTGGCGGTTACAGGACTGTTACTGTGTAATAAGAGGCACCTGCTGAGAAATTTAGTCAAGAAGAAACAGGATCTAAGAAGTTAGTTACGCACCTTAAAATACGAGTATACGGATATTAAAAAAATCCTCTCGAGCTACAGCTTATCTTTGAACTACTTGTAGTGAAAAGTGTACAAAAGCTACAACTAAGATCACCATGGAATAAATGGTAATGTGTGTGCTCTCGATGAAGCCCCGCCACGTACTGATAAGTGGAACATCATAAACATTTATGAGAGATGAGATAGAGTTGGGGGGATAAAACTTAAAAAAAAAAAAAAAAGGGGTGGGGGGGGGGGGGGCTTTTACAAGATGTGGCGTTAGAGTTGGATACTCTGAACAGCCTGTCAGCTTATATGCACTAATGTTCAGAAAATAAAATCCAGTTTGATCACAAAAAAAATTAATACTGTATATACTGCGGTGTAGATGGCAAACATGTCAGCATACACACAATCAAGTAATCAAAGAAAAAGGACAACATACATCGATAAATCTGCCTTAAATTTACGGTATTACGAGTGAAAGCATAACACCCCTCCCCCCAAATCATAGTGATCTGTGACCTAGGTACAGTGTTAGATCTACTTCTCCATAGCTTCATATACTTTAGCAAACAGCCGACACTTTTAACTTTGTATGTTAAAACACTTGGACTTGTGTAAGGTTTACATGGCAGCGCGGCAAGGAGGAGAGGACGGCGTGGGGTTTGTGTTGCTCCTCTCAGACGGACAATAAAAATTCACAGGTGAGCGCTGGGAATGCTGGGAAGCAGTGCTTTGCAAAAGTATTCACACTCCTTTAAACTTATACTTCTTTTGCCATGGTACACCGAGAGAACACGGAAGCAGGCGGTTTAGTCTGAAGAGACTAAAATTAGAATTTTTGGCCTGGATGAAAACGCTGTGTACGTTCAGCCGGTGAACGGCTCAACGGGTGCTCAAAGTGAGGCCCGAGGGCCATTTGCAGACCACAATTCCAGAATAAATTAGGACAAAACTACGACTTTTAAATCCAAATCTACTTAAAAAAAAATTCGATTCGATACAAAGTGATATTTTACAAGTTTCCTTCTATCGTCTTGGTAACTAAAACCACATTTATTCATCAACTGTTAGTCCAAAGTACACCTAATCTACTTTTAATTGCCGTATTAGAACTTGGTTAAATACAGTAAGTTTTTCCAAATGAAGACTGACCTCAATACCATTTTTGTTGCCAAGAATAGTTTTTTAGTTTTTGTTCCCTCAAATGAACCCAAAATAATAGGCAAACTGGATTCAAAAACAAATTTATTGTTTAATTAAAATAGTTCATACTTAGTCTATTGATGAGAAAGTAAAAAAAAATAAAAAATACAACACGTTTGGTGCAAATTATATATTTTGTGGCTCGTTACTTTTGAGCTCACAATTTTGGCCAAGGAAACAGAGTTTTGTTTAGACCAAAGGATATTCCTATGTTACAATGTCCCAATTAAAGTTCAGATCTGTAATGCACTTAGTTTCCAAAAATACCCAAATAAAACATTTGTGATAGCACATTTCAAAATGTGAATACTTTTGCCAGTACTGTACTTCCATATAAACTCCTGCCTGCTCTGAATCTTTATTTCCACTTGAGCTCAGCCATCTGACAAGCAGTGCTCCTCCAACATTTGTATTAAAAGAGGAAAGTAAATGATTTGACATTCAATTATGCCAAACAGAAAATTTTTTCTACATGTTTATGAAATGATAGCTTACTGGCTGGACATAGATGGGTGGAGCAGGATGTGGGAAGGCCTGACCAGTGGAGCACAGAGCTACTCAACCAGAGTTTGGCCGACTGGTGGGTTGTGGACAAAAACCAGCATCTATTCACTTTTGGCAAGGTGTCCTCACACACACACATGCACACACACACACACACACACACGCTATAGTTTTCTTTTGGGAGGCGGAGCAGGAACGTGTGTTTTACCTCCTCGAATTAAAAAAAAACAACTAAAAAAACAGTCACAATTATGGAAGCTGTCTGATAAAATCTGTCACTGGAAACTTTTGTTCTGTGATATCTGAGATGAATTACACAAACACAAGGTTTACGGATTCGCTTCACGTGTTGCCCTTAGCCACGCCTTTCTTAGCAACTTCCCATAGTGTCTTTTTCAGTGTCTTCCATAAATTGTGTAGATAGTATAAAGCAAAAAAAAAAGTAATTTAAAGTGAACTTCTATGAAACTACAGAAGCTTGCTACATTTAATTATGATAGTCTCGTCTTTCTCTGAGTAATTTGCACCGGTTTTATTTGAGTTTGGTTATTTTGGGGTTGTTTTTTTTTTATGACGTCTAGTGTTATTGTTTTGACTGTCCGATCCTCCGATGCGTTCAGCCTGCGGACGGTTTGCTCAGAAAATAATGAAAATGTTTTGTAGAAAACCTGAACCAGGCAAGAACCTCATCCAAACTCCCCTCGTCTTATTTTTACATATAAATGATGAAAACTGCCACATTTGGCATTTCTGCTAAACCAACAAAAAACTTTCATGTATTTCTATATAATTAAAGGGGGAAATTAAACTCTTTTTGACAGTGATTTTTCAGAAATTCCAACATAAACGTATGAACAATTTCAACAACATAAAAGGCTTTAGTCTTTGAATTTGTGGAACCTGAAACAATGTTTTGAAGAACAAAAAAAATCCTCTTCGGATCTCTGCTAAATCTGGATAATGTGACATTTTTGCAACCAAGGAGGTTTACAAAGAGTTGGATTCTGTTTTAAAACATGTTAAGGTTAAAATTTACATGCACAGCAATCTTTCAAATCTGTACTTTATAATATGGACAATTCCAGTGTTTGAGTAACACACACAGTTCTCTCCAAATCCTAAAAATTAATATTTTGTATAACACTTTTACTGATGGATGGATTTCTTTTCATACAGCTGATCTAGATCCTCCTTCTTTAGCTCATCAGGTTTTCTAGAACATGTATGTTTGGAGAATAAGATAACTGCTGGAAAAGTTTTTTATTTTTATTTTGGTGAATCATTTGGGTTTTTTTTTTATTGAAAAGCTTTCAGGTAATTCAGGGTTGATATTGAAAAGGAGCAGGCCCACAGCATCACAGATCCTCCATCATACCCAACATCTGGCAGACTTTTTTCCACATTTTCATGACAATCCTACTTAGTTTTGTTCAGTTACCTCAGCGCTACCATTTAAAGTCCTCACGTTTAAAGATGGGAGAACATAATGACCTCGGTCAGGATCCCATTTGTTATAACTTTTTGTTACTCAAACTGTAGATGTGAAAAAATCCAGGCAAGTGGTTTTATTGTAGCTGTTTTCTCACTTGTATGAAGTAAGGTGATGGGAAAGGCTGTTTATTAGGGAAGTCCAAAAGAGCCCAAATTTCATTAAAAAAAAATCATTAAGATGGTTACTTAAATATGTTACTATCTTTAACAAATACATGAAAAGCACAAAAACAATTTATAAAATCTATAATTTAACATCAGAACTGTAATGTAATTAGAATACGTTTCCTGCATTATTTTTCACTATTATCAATTCATTTGAAGGACAGCAGCTCATTTTAATTCGTTTTCAACGGGAGCCTTACCCATCAAAATAAGTGGGTAGGGCTAACATTGCTCTCAAGAAGATGACTGGTTTCAAGTTTGTGCAAATAAACCAATCACAAAAAAAATAACATTAAGGGTTTTTTAAGTGTCCCGCAACAAGTAAACCATGAGAAATCTTAATAAATATTTAGATAACTATTTTAAAACAGATTTTAACTAATTTTACATAAATACCTTATGTATTTAATAATTTGAATGCTATGGGATATATTCATAGAGTAAAATAACTTACTGACTTATTCATTTATGACATTTTTGGCAATTTTGGAAAATACCCAACATGTCAGCCTTCAGTCAGGAAAATTTCTAATCTGGTTTAATAGAAATATTGCAGTGCATGTAAACATCCCCATTGTCATGTGGGTGCTGTTAGTTTGACGTAATTTATTTTAAAATCTACAAACCTATAAATTTGTGGCCTAAAGTTCAAGACTTAAGACAAGATTGTTGCCTGTATGGTAAATGTGATCTTTCCTAAATGAAAAAACAAACAGGGGGGATGTGGGTAAAAATTCAGGACAAAATAATAATAATTTTGACAATCAAGACAGCACAAGCACCCAGAAATGTAGTTCTAGAAAAAAAAAAAATCCTAATTTATATTTTTAAAAAACAAAACAAAAAACGTGCTTTTTCATTAATGTGTAACTTAAATATCAGTTTATAATCTCAGAGTAAAATTCAAGCTTTTGTTCAACTAAAATCTCAAATTATTTTTAATAAATTTACAAGCGCAAATAAAAAAAAAAACTCCATATTTAGCATACAGCTCTAAAAGTGGCAAAAAAAAGAAAAAGAAAGAAAAAAAAAAGATAATTTCCCAAAATCTAGCACTATCCCTCAACATACTGGTTCACATAGTCACTCCAGATGTCCTTCCACCGCCTTCAAACCGCAAACATCTCACTGTATGTGCATTTTAAGATCGCTTCTTCAATTTCATACGCATGGCTCATCATTTTCACTTAAGGCAAGTGAAGCTCAGTCGACGGACGACCGGGTTCACATTTCAAGTCATTTGTTCAAATTCCATATTTAAAGTCAAACAAAAAAAAAAAAAAGAAAAAAAAAGTTACGAGAGTGCTTTTGTTGCTTTGTAGGAGGGAACAGTGGTCAGGATCCGAACGGGACAGCTCCAACCACAATCAGAATGATTCAAAATGTGCAAGCACTGAACTCGGATTAGACTCAGGAAAACATTCCGAAACAGATTCACCGACAAATATAACCCTTTTGATTAAAAAAAAAAAAACAAAACAACAACAACAACAAAGAAACGGTAGAAGTTTGGGGGGCGGGACACTTTTCAGAAGTCTATAAAATTAGTATTCCTCCTCCTCTTCCTCAGAGTCTTGAGGAGCTGCAGCTGGTTCAGGAGCACATTCATTAAATTGCGGTGGTGTTGATGATGATGATGATGATGGTGATGATGATGCGAGCCACACCAGAGGTTTTTAGACGCTCCTAAACCTCTCTGATGGGAGCTGCATAATCAGCTGGATCTCCGCCTCACACGCTGCCGCCGCCACCGTCCGCCGCGGGCGGAGATTCACATGCGCGCCCCTTTTGCAGAAACAGAGCGGAGGAGAAAAAGGAGGCGGCTTCGCTTTAGCCAGAGAGCTGCTGCCTGTCCGCCCAGGAGTGCAAAACTAGTTCTGCATTGAATTGACATGAATAAAAAACAGCATTAAATGACATCAAGTAATTAACTCTACAAGAGAGGCTTGTTACGGCCTTCCTGATTAAACATTCCTCTGTCTTTTTTTTCTTTTAAGCAAACCCTCGCCATCGCCGCTGCTCTTCTCGTCTTCGCCTTCGGCCGCTTCTTCCCTCCGTCCGTCCATCAGTCTGTTCCAACTGTTTGAGCTTCTGTGGAGGCGACAGGATTGGGGGTTGCACCAAAGTGTGTGGAGTTGGAGGGGGGTTTGTGGATACGTCACTTCCAACCCGCTAATGTGATGAGGAGAGAGGGACGGGGGTGTCAGCTTATCCAGACTGGACTGCACAGGTTGAGAAACTCCTGGATCCGATTTCAGTCAGAGCCAGCGAGGTTCCCGTCCATCCCTGATAATCAGTGAGGAAGTCAGAGGGTGGCGCTCCCTGCGGGCGCCACAGCTTATCCGGCCTGGAGGGGAGGAGAAGGGGGTTTGGGAGGGAGATCCATTCGAAAGACCCTCAAACACTCCTGCTGTAAAACGTGTCGCTTTAGTGGTCTTGCGTTTTCACAACTTTTTTTGGCGTTTGACGAACCTACCGGACCCTCCAGGGAAAACAAATAAAAAAAATTAACGTCGCTGGAGCCAGACAAAGCTATCTATCTATCGCCGTGACGCCACAGTCCGAACGGCGGTAAGGCGGAGAAAAACACCACAAACCAGGTGCCGGAGCCGAGTGCGCTCCCAAAAGCCCCGTGGCCTTCTGCTTTCTCTCTCTCTCTCTTTCTCCTCAACCCCGCCTAGTCGGTGAGGGAGCAGGCAATGGGGGGAAATCTTCTGATGTGCAAAAAAAGTGGGGGGAGAGCTGTGTCAGGTGGGTGAAGTGTCACAAGGCCACAGCGGTGCAGGGGTGTTTGAGCTTGCAGGGCAGCACTCCTCTGTTGAGCTGGTAGAACTCCACCAGGTGGATCAGGTCCGTGAACTTGGTGGCGCCGTCGTCGAGGCTGAAGAAAACCTGGCCGTCCTCCTCCACCTGCAGGGCAGGAGCACAGCCACCGCATGTCAGATTAAAATGTCTCCACCTGCCGGAGCTTTGAGCTGTTTATTCATGCAAGCAACAAACTTAGAATGTGAACGTCTTTAAAATTTATTTTTGAAATGATAAAAACCAAAAACTTTTTTTAGCTTGAGGAAAAGGAGTTTGAATCTTTCTCATGAATGTTTGTTTGTTGTTTTTTTAGGTCAAATCTTTACTCTAGACTAAAAAACAAAAAACAATATGAGATTATATATTTTAAAACAACTATTACAACTACTTAGGTACTTTAGCTAATACAGCAGAAAAAAATGGTCATGATTAGAAGTGGTGGAGACATTTTAAGACTTCATCAATCCTAATTGGTTACCAGTTGGTCAGATCTGTTCTTTTTTTATGCCATCGGGTTGCTCATTTAAATGTTGCACCTAAAGCTGCGTTTCCGTTACAAATGTGCCTGAAACTCTGTCAATATTCCACTAATGACAAAGAAACACAATTTCACAACTGCTGTTGTTCAATTGAAAAAGATATACAATTAAAATTACGTGAATAAGTTTGTTCACGCAATAAGTCGTTAAAAAATATCATCCTCCAACTACTTCCTGTTGTCATCTTCTTCGTGGTTTGCGCCAGTGGTAACGTCCTGTTGTTGGTCATGTGACTCGTGTGAAGCGAAAGAATGTGTGTCAATTTTGGTAACGCTGAAAAACCGACTCATACTAATGCCAAAACCAGTGTGTCAAAATTGGATATCTATTATCAGCTTATGCAGTAAGAAGAGTTAAAACGGGGAAAAACGTTAAATAATAAAGTAATAATTTTTTTTTTTGAAATCCTGTTTTTTTTTTTCTACAACCTGAATTCTTTTTCATCTTCTGTAATTTAATTGATTTGCAACAATATAAAACACCTGGCGGACATATACGAGCAGCTATGCTGCATTTTTTATCAAGAGTTTGTTGCTCTGCTTCACTGACCGGTAGGATCTGGAAGTGCTTGATCTTCTGGTGGTGGCACAAGGTGAGCACGAATGCCTTGGGATTACTCTGACTGTCCCGCAGCAGGAACAACCTGACAGGAAAGTGGACAAAAGAAAAAATAAAAGCTGACAGATACTTAAGTTTTAAGTAAAATAGGATTTAGACACTGAGAAATGCTTGATGAAAAAACCGTTTGTTTTTGTTTTGTTTTTGTCAAAAGTGATGCTGCCAAGTCTAAGAGTCTTCAATGCTTTTCATGACAGCAGTGGGAAAATAAAATATTTCTTTGCTTATTTTTTTGTCCCCTTTTTGGTAAATTTCATAAAACGTCTGTGAACTCACCCATCTACTTGGCCTTGTTGTATAATCATTTTGTGGGCTTCCTCTCTCATAATACGACCGTGGAACCACACCTGTGTCCTGTGGATGACTGGGAGGAGAAACAGAAATGTGTGTGACTGTAAAGGGTGGTGGAGGAAGGCCGTCAGGCAGACTGGTGTTAGTGGTTTCAGTGGGAGTACCTGTGTTCATAGAGGATGGGTGCAGGGGGCTGGGGCTGCCCAGGACATTCATACGGTGGGTTCTTTTCTGAAAGTAAGAAGAAAAATCAGATCACATTAAGTACGTAACTAAAGGAGGAATTAGTCTTTGGGTTTTTACATATACATTATCTAATAAACTGGACTCTCCGATACAGACATCTGAAGTTCAGTATCGGCCGATACCGAAAAACAGAGCTGAGTTAATGCAAAACTTTTCTTTTTATAAACCCAGACATAAATGTACCTTATTACAAACTTATTAGATAACTCTCCACTTAAATACAACAATAACTTCACAAACAACTTTTATCTGTTCAGTTCAGTACAACCAGGGGCTTAATAGCCAATGTGAAATAAATAGTAAAGAAACTGAAACTGACAAAAATAACCTGCAACAAACCTCCTTTCAAATGGTTCAGAAAGAGCAATGAGGAGTTCTAACTATAATGTAAAATAAATAAAACATGATGAGAACAAAGCATAGAGTTAGAGTGAATAGATCTGTCATAGATACCAGATCTATAATTTTTTCCATTATCAGGACCGATAACGATGCATCTCTAGTTTTAAAGTTTATAACCAAACGGAGCAGATTTAAATGATATATGAATGTTACAGCAAATTGAAATTTGAGAGAAGTGGTAGATTATATATGTTTATTTTCTTTCAACTACATATGTTCATTTTAACCTGCAGATGAACATTTTTAGAAACAAACATTTAAATCCAGGATTTCATAAGAAATGCATCAAGTGTCGTTTTATTTGGCTCTGATCATGCTACCAATGTAAACGTATTTCTTTTCCTCCAAGGCTGACTAGGCACTACCTGGTGTAGAAAGTCAAAGTGTAGGAATTACTGAGGCAGAGCGATATTAATCACTGTCGGAACAAAAAGTCCTGTCTGTGTCAAAGAAATCCTCAGGAGAGCGAGGAGGAATACCAGACAAGACGCGACGAGTAAACCCAAGACACTGACCTTAAGGCAAAATTAGAAGATGTCAGGCTTTTGTCGTTTTCTAGGTTATAAACCTGCTTACCCTCCAAGTTTGTCCCTCCTCCAGGGCGGCGCTCTGGGCCTCGATGGGATTGTCAATGACGCGGCCGGTTCTTCCCGAGAAGTCCATGGCAACCAGCGAGTTCTCGGATACGCTCCGCTGTCGGGAGGAAAGGCGGAGAGAGGCGGAGGGCGTGGGGGGAGGGACACACGAGAAACAGGGTTGAGTTGTAGCGATTGGAGTGGGGGGTGGGGGGGCGCGCGTAAAAAAAAAAGGGTCAGAGGTCAAACAAGCCAGACGCAGTCACTGAAGCATGACAAATCCTGTCTGCACACAGACCCACTTTAGTCAATCCACAAATGCTCCTCTGAAGAGAAGCAAAAGCCCGGATTTCTGACCGTACGGCTTAAATCGTCCACGTTCCCTTTGAACCTCAGAGAGAAAAGGCTTTTCTAACAAATAAATACCTCTTTTTTTATGAAAAAGAACAAAAATTTAATTCTGAAACTAATGCTTTTTCCTGACAACATGAAATATGTTTCAATTATATTTTGTGCCGACAAAATAAAGCTCTAGAAACTCTGAATCAAACTAAATTGCAGACTTTTTTTTAAAACTTTTATAGGGTTTTCATGTAAAAAACTGCTAGTATGTTTGTCGTAATAAGCAATATATCAATTAATCACACAATAAATTAAAACAAGCTCAATAATTTCCAGTTCGCATAATTTATTGTTTTTCCTCTTTCTACTAAAACAACTGGATGATAAAAGTTCAGTCTGGTGCTTTGATCTTGTTTTTGAGGGACAATTTTGTTTACAGAGACTTAATCATTGATTTTATTCATTGTTTCCGTTTTTATTTTGTTTATTTATTTTGTATATTTCAAACGTCTTCCTGATGCACCTTTTGCATTAAATCAATACTTTTTATAGGTTTTTGTCTCATTTCCCATCAGAAACAAATTTTTGTACAATTTTTGAACAACTTTTTATTTTTGTTAACCAATTTCCACTGTTGGTGCACTTCTGTTTTCTGCAGAATCCCTTTCTAATAACTGCACAGCAGTTTTTGTTATAACCTTGGACAGTATATTATTATTATTTTATTTGTGAATTTTGACTTGACACATCAGGCTTATCTAACAAAAAGATACAAAATAGTTCAATTCATCAGCTTATTTGTAAAGTATAATATTATTATTGTTAATCTTGTTTTTTATACATCGTTTAAAAACCATATCTGTTGCTCCACCTGAATTTCCTCTTTGCAAAACAATAAATTTCTATTTTCATTTCCATTTCTAACTCTGCCAATATTTTTTGAATTCAGTGAAGAAACTGTGTGACATTTTAATAAACGTTTCCTTAACGCCTTCACTCCTCTGCCCCTCAAGCACAACGTGTCAAAATGTTTGGCCAGAAATGTCTCAACTCGCTCCGGTGGCCCAGGGTTTTGTTTTTCCAAGATCACAGTGAACTGGTTCTTGCTAAGCAGGGAAACGTGACAGCTGGGCGGTGATGGGACGACGGCGGCGGCAGAGAGGAGATGCTCACCACGGGCCCAGAGAAAGATGAGTTGTTAGCCTTCCTCTGCAGGGGCACATTGTAGTTCTGGTACAGGACAATCCCGTACTGTGGAGATGGCAGAGGAGACGGAGTCAGCTGTTAGAGCCGCGGACTCGAGTCCAAAACAAATAAAAGAGTCGTCGTTACTTTGAGCAGTCGGAAGGCGGTCATCCAGCACGTCCTGCTCTGTTCGTCCTCGGCGCACAACATCTTGAGCTCCTTACAGTCACTCCTGGCTTTATTGGGCTGTCAACCAAGCAGAGGACACAGCGGGGTTTGAAATTAATGAGAAACACATTGGGAACACAAACACGGCCGAGCCCCGATTCCACGGCTCACAAAAGTATTCAAACTGTTATGTTTCATAACACCGGGGTCGCGCTTTAATGATCTCGATTTGAACAACGTGTTTTCAGAGGGAACAGGGATTTTGACAGCAGCTGTTATGAAATATATCAGTCTGGAAAATTCAAAAGCTTCCCACAGTATCTTTAAAAAACACAGATTAAACAACTGATAGTTTTATTACCAATATTTAACGAGTCCTGAAAAATGACCAGTGAAATTAACTGCTCATTAAAGAGGATACTTTATGTTTTGTGCATGTTTGAACTTGTTAGTTTCAGACCTTGTTGGTTTTATCTTAGCTGGTTTCAATTATTTAAAAGGTAAAACAAGTCAATTGTCATAAATCAACCAATAATGTGAACGCTGCATGTTCATCCAGCCTAAAACATGCACTGCTGCAGGTCGCATCGCTCTTTTAAATGCATGGCCACCATGTTGGATTTAGTGGTTGGTGTTGGTGAAAATCGTCCATCTTTATCACCTGAAAAATGGACTTCAGAGAGTTTCTGTGGATTTTTTTTCCCCCCCAACCAGAAAATTTTGGCTTTTGAAAACAAAATGAGCTTCTAATAAGCCTGTCCCAGTTGTTCACAGGATAAATTAAAAGGAGCCTGATCATTTTCTTTCTGATGAAGGATATTTTTGGAAGGGTAATTTTGTTTACAGAGACTTCATGGTCTATTTTTATTTATGGTTTCAATTGTGTGGGATTTTTATTTCCGTTTGGTTGTTGCGTTTTATTTTGGACATTTAAGATGTCTTCCAGATCCAGCATCTGGAAGACAGAGCAAACTTGCATTATTTTGCCGTTATCATCATTAAATGAATTGAAAATGGCCTCAAAACAACATTATCGTTTATCTCAATAATTACTGGGACAATTTATCGTCCAGTAAATGTTACTGTGACAGGCCAAGCTTCCAATGAAACAAGATCTTCCAACCACACACACACAGCCACCAAACAGGATTGTTTTCTTTTGCTTTTTGTGTTTTGTTTTTATTATCTATTGGTGACAAAACATGCCACTTTGGTGATACTTGGGAAATGCACAAAACTATTACTTAAAATTGAGTTTTTGTCCAAACTAAATAAATGTACTTGCACTGAATTTTGGTTACAAAGTGTTATACTGTGATTGAAGATGTATTTATTTACACATCATCAGCCTTTTCATAGCTTTTCATTATCCATGACCAAAAAAAACTCAGTCAAATGGTGAAAAAATGGAAATATTTCCTCTTTTAATGCAACCTTTGCATCCCCCAGCCCCCATCAAGTGTAAAAAGAGAGCTGAAAGGTTTAGAGGGGGGCGACTTGCTCTACCATCCAGAGCTTATCCCACTAGGCTTATCCCAGATCAGCAGGTGACCCACCACAGATAACGCGTGGAGCAGAGACTGTGTTTAACCCCCTGGTGGGCGGCGTTAACCCTCGTGTCCTCTGACACAGATACACACATGATACCCTGCGAGCAAAGAGGGAGCAGAGTCTCTTATTATGAAGAGGTGGCATTAAAGGCCACAAGTTGGCCCCTAAACTGGGACGTCTCAGTGATGAAGAAATGGCTCAGATCGCTAAACCAGACGACACAAATCTCTGTTCTCTCAGGGAGAAATCGCTTAGGATGACAGGAAACACGCAGGTTGTACCTTAATGCAGAACTGGAAGTCTGCAGGGGCGTTGTGAAGCTTCCTCCCAGTGATGATGGTGTAAATGTTACTGTCCTCCAGATCTGAGAGAAGCTGCAGATGTCTGGGTTCCTGTGGGCAGAAAGAAAACAGATTATAGATTATAAATGGAAAAAAAAAAAGTTGGTACACCATCTTATTAGTTGAGGATTAAAAAAACCCAAAAAAAAACAACAACAACATATTTCTCACCTTGGATGTTCCTTTAGTTGAGTAGTAAAGGCCTGAGCGTCGCAGGAACATGTAGAGCTTCTTCCAGGACTTTCTTCCTGGCTCCTTCACATACAGGTAGCCCTGGATCTCAGGACAGCTGCTGGAGTTCAGAAAATTCTAGAAATAAAACATTAAAAGCAAAATTACATCAAACAAGAACGGTATGGATGGACTACGTACATGATTAAATGAAGAAAAAGAATCAAAAACGCTCCTGTCCATTTTTGTCTCAATGCATTATACTTTTATTTTACTTTTCAACTTGCAGAACATAAAGCTATGCCCATCAAGCTTGATACTCTTTTTGTGTTGCTGATCTACAGCAGAAGTAATTTTGCTATAATTGTGACATTCATTTCCACAGGTTTTTAGCTTGAAATGCCTTTTGTCTGGTTTGCTGTTAGGATTTAACTTTCTCGTTTACAGTCTTTCAAATATGTTTATTCCTCTTTTCATATTTTACATGAGAGATTCCATCGACAGTCAGTCCATTCGCTGTGCACTCCTCAAATCTGGCTTTAATGGAGGAGCGGCAACAAGAAAGCTTTTGTTGAAACTAATTTGTTACAAGTTGTGTTTGCTTCCAGCCATGAAATTTAACATGAAAATTTAACTTTTCAATTTTATCTTGAAATAAGACAGAACTAACTTACAAGTGGCTTTTCAGCAAGACGTAGTAGCTTGTTTAAAATCAATCATTTCTTAATATTGATGAAAAAGTACTTGGTCCACTGGCAGATTGTTTCACTTAGGAACATTTTTTTACAAGCCTTGCCAAGATATTTGCACTAAAATTTAGAAACTGCAAAAGACTTGAAACTGGGGGCAAATGTCAACAACCCCAAGTACAAATCCAGAGATCAAATCGTATTTAATCGTATGCTTGCATATTTTTGCACCGCAAAAGCCCAAAATCGTACCAAGTATTTTTGGTCTGGTTTCTTGTAGAAGACATTTTTCTCACATTACAAGTTAGGTATAAGTTAGGTAGGCAGATTATTTCACTTATATTTAGAACTTTTTCATCAGTATTAAGGAATTATTGATCTAAAACAAGCTCTTACATCTTGCTGAATAGTTACTTGTAATTTAGTTTTGTCTTATTTCAAGTGTACTCAGATATTTGAACTAGAAACCTGACCAGAATTACTTTGTTAAATTTTGTGTTTTTGCAGTCTGATAAAATGGCCTAATCAAAGTCCAGGCCTAATTTCAATTTCGAATTTATGGAAAGACTTCAAATTAGATGCTCACAGATGCTTTTTATCAAATTTGAGCTTCAGCCATTTGCAACACAAATACAAATGTGTGAAACACTTTTCAGATTCTTACAGCGTTTAAAGACACGCATCACTTTTGTTCATAAATTGGCCACTTCTTCACAAATATGCATTTCCTTGTGCTGGTCTGACACTTAAAACCACAGATAACATACATTTCTTTAGAGTTAGGGATTGAAACGTGGCAAAAGGAGAATCATTCAAAACTTACGAATACTTTTGCAAAGCAATCTGTGCATCCAATGAGATGCAAGTGATATTTACAGAGAATCTTTAGGACGTTAAATTAGTTTTTAACTTTTTAGCAGGTAGCTTTCTCACCTGTAAGAGCTGTGACTGAGGGATCGAACAGTCAGACTCATGACACAAAGCCACCATATGCTCTGGAAAAAAGTTCTGGATGGGAAAGAAGCACACAAACCAACACGCTGACAATGGCTGTCATAGAAAGGGACAAAGAAAGACACAGTCACCTGAAACCACTTAGAGCATGCAAGAGCTAAGAGAGGACAGCATCTCTTTTTACAGAATAGATCTATGCGAGTGTGTGTGTGTGTGTGTGTGTGTGTGTGTGTGTGTGTGTGTGTGTGTGTGTAATGGGTATGAGGGCTCAAACGCTAAGTGGTGGGAAGTGAAAGAGGGCACTCCAGCCTTGCAGTAGATGCAGTATGATCTCACCCGCTGATGTAATCCCCTTTAGCCAGCAGCGCCACTCTTAGCGTGATTGACAGGCTGCAGCCAGCACTCTGCTGTTTTACTGGGCTCATTACCACAGGGCTGAGATCACCTGCTGGCTCTGACACACACCTAAATCATCCCGGCAGTAATGTCATTCTATACAGCTGCAGAGAGCCCCCAGCTGAGTTCGCATCACCAGATGCCATGCAGGGCAGCTAACACGGCCTGGCTGGCTGGCACCGGGTTACTGAGACATAAAGGACCGCATATCAAGCTGCTGCGATACTCGAGCTAACAAAAAATATAAAAACAAAGTTTGAAAATCATTTTGCAAAGGTGCAAACAGGCATTATCCAGCTTATTAAAGTTTCTCCTCATTTTTTAATGATTTCAGGCTGCATCGCTAGCTAACAAACAAACACTGTGCAGCTTTGATTTACTGGATCTTATTCAATAACTCTGATTCTTTTGCTTCTTTACAGCAAATATCCACCCAGCTTACCTCCTAAATGAACTCTTTTAATACTCAACATATTAAAAGAGTTACTTTTAATATGTTGAGTAGTTTTGTTCATCAGGAGAAAAACCCAGTGAGAACCTAACATGTTTCAGAGTCACTGTGTTGTTAATATTCCCAAGCTTCCAGCTAAACATTTGCAATAGCTACTTATTTTTTTCTTATATTTGCAGATAATGGCCAAATATTTGCTTACTTGCAATTTTTTTTTCATCCCAATTAAATGTTTCAGATCAAAATGGTGTTAGGATCAGACAAAGATTGCATGAGTAAATGCAAAAAACCCCAACAAAAATACAGCCTGGTTTCATTTGAGACTGGTTTCAAATGATGGTAAATGGCCTTTACCTGTAATGAAAATGTATTTATTGTGGGAAAAAAAATCCAGAAAATAGAACTAGTCCCAATCTTAGTCATAAGTTAACCTCCTTAAAAACTTTGTTCCATTTCCCAAACACAACCAGCCAGATCTGTATAATCAATAAATCCCATTAATCTAACCCATCCTGGCTGTTCTAATATATTTTATTATGAAATGAATTTGATTTGTCAAATTAAACTGAGTTAGCTCTGTCTCCAAGTTGAATTGCAGCAAATTAAGTCATAAAATGAAAGTTTTGTTTAAGAAATATCGTCCCTTTTGTTTCTTTCCTGAATATTCAATCCCAAATATTTTAAGTGACTTCATTGTTTAATACATTTTAAAAAGTTGAATAAAAACTTGATAAGTGCTTTAAGTAAAATAACAAAAAATTTATTCCTCTTTAGATGAAAAAAGTCACATTATTAGCATTTCAAATTTAAAGCAGAACTTTCACAGTAAGTAAAAGAAGATTAATGTGGATCTTCACAGCAGTGGATAAACCACAGAAATGCTCCGTCTGTGGGCAGCATGAGGGAATCTTTGCCCCAGCTCAGTGTCTAAACGATGGCTAAATGTTTACTGCTAGTTAACTGTTTGCCTCCTGACATACTGACCTAAAGATGGTGAAACATTACACCAAACATGTGAGCATTGATTTATCGTCATCAATGCGCTTGTAACATGATAGCAGCAGCGTGTGCTGAAACACAGGATCACAGAGCAGATTCAGCTCCTCTAGACTGAGTCAAGGAAAAAACAAAATGTGAAAACGTGATCGTCTTATTATATTTAAGGTGAAAACAAAATAATTATCCCTTAGCTGTGTGTACCCAAAACTACCAAGGGGGGAAAAATAATAACTAGAGGGACTCTGCTGTCTGTGTGTGTGTGTTTGTGAGAAAGGAGCTGCGTGCTAAGAGCAAGCAGTCACAGAGAGGTCAAATCAGGGATGCGAGAAACTCACGAGTGGGTTCCTGAAGAATTCATATTTGGCATAGTTCTTCCTGAAGAGGAATTTGCTGTCGCTGCTCATGGAGGCCTGCACCTGAACCACCAGCTCGTGGTCCTCCACACACCTCTCTGTGAGAACAAGAGATGGGCAGAGTTAGCACCGCGTCACGCATCGGTGAGGAAAACCTCGTCTTTGAAATCTATTTCACGTGTAGCAGCGACACTCATATGGTCTTATAACTTCAAACGTTGAATTATGTGGAACGTTTTAGTCAGATATGTAGATGGAAATAATGTTGCCCCGTTTGGCGCCGTTATATTGAAATCAAATCAAATTTTATTCGCATAGCGCATTTTAGCAACAAGGCAGTTCAACGTGCTTCACATCATAAAAACACAAAAATCAACTATTGAAATATAAAATGTTTCCAAGTGTCGTCATCACACATCAAAATGTTGGTTAGCGTTTCATTTATTGTGGTACAAAAGCACCTCTAAGCAGGTGGGTTTTTAATCCAAAAGGAACTCAGTGTTTCGACTGTTTCACAATTTTCCGTAAGTTTGTTCCAGATATGTATTTAGTTATAAGCAGTGCCAATTCTGTTATTGGAGCAGGAGGTTTAATTTTGGCCCCATCTAGCCAGAACACCTTGCACATATTTGCCGTGTCCTCTATTCGTCTATTGGCATCTCTTCTTCAGCAAATTTACCCCTACATTAACTTAAAATGTTCATTTAAAAACCATATATCAATTTCCCTCCCACTTCACAATCAGGCACATTTTGTTTGGTCTATCATATAAAATCCCAGGAAAACACACAAATGCTAATGGTTATTGTGTTAATTTAATCGCCGAAAGGGCTTTGGCAGTTTTTGCCAAGAACTGAACAAAAAAGCCAGAATGACTAATGCTGAGATGAAACTGTTTGACATTTTTTGTCAACTAATAAAAATGCAGCAAAAATGTTCCAGGGAGATTAAATATAATTACAAGTTTTAGTCAAGTGGGAAGGAGGGAAAGGTTTGAAAGCCAATGAGAATGGAAAGAAGTGAAATGATTATATTGTATGATAGCAGAAGAGACACTTGCTGTAACAATGTTAATATTCCAATAGTGCATTTTATGATAATTTCATTTTGAAATGATACATGTGAACTTGGAAGGCTGAGATTGCACTATTGGCACTGCTTCCACCATTGTTAATTTGATGAATCATGTGTGCACTGTGCTTAAATACACACCCCAGGTTTTGGCCATTTTAGAATTGGGAAAAAAGGTAAAAGTAATTAAAGTTGCATTATATAACAAGCAATGAAAAATAGCAATTAATTTGTGCCTCTGGGTATTGTAAAATTAACTTTTATTTCTTCCACCCTCGAGAAAATATTTCAGCAAGGTTTCAAGAAATTATTTTCCATAAAGACCCAAGAGGTCGTAAAAAGCGTGCCTCTTGGGTAAATTTACAATCAATTTAATCGAGGAGTTCTTGACTAAGGCCCTGTTTACATGGAACCGCTCTTCAGTTAAGCCGAAACATATTTTTGTTGCCATCCAGCCGCTCGTTTCTGTCATAGACATAATATAAGAGTAGACGCCTCATGGACCGCTCTCGCCTATTGTCGTTGACGAGATTTGGGGCGGCCATCTTGGA